TCACTTCACAGGATGTTAATCAGTGGACTAGAGCTTTGCCGATTACTTGTGGATTATTGTGATGTTTTTATCAGCTGTTTGGACTCTCATTCTGACAGCACCCTTTCACTTAAGAGGATCCATTGGAGAACAAGTGATGTGCTAAATTTCTCCAAATCTGTTCTGATGAAGAAGCAAACGGATCTAGAGTGAGTACATTTTCAGCCGTTTTCATTTTTGAGTGAACTATTCCGTTAACAAATTATTTTATGATTCCCAATATGAGGTAAGTTGTGGTCATCATTTGTATGTGGATTTACTCATGCTAACTGAGTGGCTTTTGTTCTGTCTGTCTGACTTCACATCAGGTAATCTAACAGTTTTAGAAAAACTTAAGTCCTATCAAAACGTTCCCTGCATTAGGAAATCATATTCTTTTTCTTCTGTGCTTTTTTCACCTCTGTATAGGAAACTGAGCCCAAGACTGAGGCTGAGGCGAAAGAGTGATTGAAGTTGTTTTCTGGAATAACAAAGAACATTTTTTATTCCTATTGAGTATTTTGTAAAATGCAAACTTTTTTTAGACTTACCGTACTAGATATCCTTAGCTAAGTCGACTCACACTCCCCGCTGAAGCACCGTACCTGTCTCCTTCTCTTTCATCTGACAGAAAGATAGATTCATTTCAAGGAAAAGCAACAGTTATTCTTGAAAATTTCACCAGCAGCTTGCCTGCCAAATGCAGCCACTTGGAACATGTCACATCCTACCTGTTAAAAGCAACCAGTTCATCTTTTGCCACCAGAGCGCATATCCTTATCTCCATATATATGGTTACTAAGGTGCAAGTCTTTGGTGTGTATTGTCTTTGAGTCTTGTTATTTAATTGGTTAAATATCATAAAAAAAGAGCGAGAGATACAGAAAGAGGGAGCAAATGGGGCCGAGAGATTTAAATAGTAACCCTTTGCTTTTTTATCTCCTTTGTAGCATTTTGAGATTCTAGTGTGTTCTTTTAAAATTGCTGAATTAAACATGACCCTTAACAGTGGCAGAAATCCATAGCAATAAACAAGTGGTGCTTTGTGCTAGAAGGTTAGGAAAACTCTACAAGAACTGAATCTCAGAAAGATGTACAAGTCCACAGAACTGGTTTAAGAGATACTCTCTGTAAAATGTTTTCAAATAAAAGATGAATAAACGGTCAATTGACTCTTGTGTGTTTCTTACTAGTTGTTGCTTTAATGCTCCACAAGTACTAGGCTGTCTCTATACAAAAGTTCAAAGCAGGCTTAGTGTTGGTCTAATATTTTTGACTAATTTTAGAATTTTGTAAAAATAATTTTAGATGAAAAAAAAGACTATTTTGCCAAAATAGCTCAACTTATTTTTTTTGGGGGGGGGGAAATCGGATAAATAAAATATGTAATTACAGTATTGGAACAACAATGGAAAATGGTCAAATTAGTACCAATCTTTATTTAATGTTATGTCTTTCATGAATTGATTTATTTATATATTTGTAATTAGAATTGAGTGAAACTTATCTATTATTTCTTTATAATATTACTCTCTTTTTTTTTGTGAACACATGAAATACAAATCATAAGCGTGTTATTTATTCAAAAACACAACTATATAATTTTTTTCAGTAACAATTGATGCCACTATGAAACTGCACATGATGAAATTCACATAAAAACATGGTTGTTTTTCCGCTGTGGCTCATATTTTCTCAATTAATTGTAAAATTATGTTAAGATAAACATCTGTGAACGAAAACAGGTATTTAACTTCTCGATGCATCCGAAATCCAGATGTAAAAGAAACGTAGTGCACTTTCAGCATGTGTGTTCCTCAGGAAAAATTGAGAAAGAATATAAAATTTCACATGATTTAAAACAGCACATTACTGGTTACTATAAAGACTGCTATTAATTCCAAAAATGCAAGTCATAGGGAGAAAGTGAAAAAAAAAAATGATGGCAACACTATAACATAGTTAACTTTGTGGAAAACTCTTGAGGGTCCAGGGTGTTTAGTCTAAAGCTACAAAGGCCTTTCAGTATAGTTCTTTATACACAGACACATGTGACCCTAAACACACGCACACACTCACTAAATACAACTGCTGATGTCAGGAAGTGAAAGGTCAGCAATGCCATGGGGAGGCAGGAACAGAGAAGAGGAAATGAATGGACTGACAACACTCGTTGGTCTGGACTCCTGTCTTTCTGCAGGCCCAGCCAATAGACCAAAAGCCCCATATATAGTAATAAATCTGTTTAATGATCACACAGGCAACATATTTCTGAAGTACAGAAATTAAAGTGCTTCTTTCTTTTTAAAAGTGATCGGGTTGTTTTAGAGGATCTACACTTGTCAGGAACGCTGTGCATTTTATAGTGTTACTGTTACTTGTTTGTGATGATGCCTTTACAAAGAAGACCTACTGAATTTCAAGAACAGACATTTTAAATAATTTTTTAACACTTAATATGTGTAAATGTGCTCTAAATAAAATGGAACGGGAAACTTTATTCGCATTATTCTTATCCACATTGCTTAAGTTTAAATAAACATACCATGAAAACTCTATATGTAAGACCAAATAATAATACATCAACAAAATAGAGATATATTATGTATTATACATTGAAGTATAGAATTAAGCCCAGATTTATGTACTGATTGATTCTGATACAGAATTGTTGTGGTTGATGCTTACATGATTGTATCCCTCACTTTAAATATTTACTGATTATTATTAGAGGTTACTCTTTGTGAAATGTTTTTAATGATCACGCTTGCATTAATAATTATTATTTTAGGAAACTATAACAGTCTGGAATGCTCTGTTGAATCTACTGAGATCCAAGGAGGCAAAACCCTCCAACTTGATTTATTTACCCCTTATAACCTTTGACCCATGTTTGGCCCCTGAACTCATCAACTGAAATGATAGTCCTGACCTCCAGTGGCAAGAAAAAATACTGCATGCCACTGATCACAAAATAACAACATTCTTCCATTTTAGAATCTTTACTCCAATATATTTTAAAAAGCTGTTTATGATTTGTATTTTTAGTATTCTGGATCAAAATGAGTCACACTTTGAGTGGGGTTTTTTCTGTTGTCAGAACCTACTTGTGAAGTTTAAAGCCTACTCAGCCACTTCACCAGATCACCACCGTTATTTAAAAGTGTGATAAGTTGGATCAGTTTTTCTTAAGTAGCCTCGAAGCCAAAGCTGCTATATTCATGTACAGGTGCATCTCAATAAATTAGAATGTCATGGAAAAGTTCATTTATTTCAGTAATTCAACTCAAATTGTGAAACTCGTGTATTAAATAAATTCAGTGCACACAGACTGAAGTAGTTTAAGTCTTTGGTTCTTTTAATTGTGATGATTTTGGCTCACATTTAACAAAAACCAATCAATTCACTATCTCAACAAATTAGAATACTCCATAAGACCAATAAAAAAAAATTTTT